AATAAGACTAGTGTCTATAGAAATGGAGAGAAATGAGTTTAGTGTCATATTAACGAGAAAATAAGACTAGTGTCTATAGAAATGGAGAGAAATGAGTTTAGTGTCATATTAACGAGAAAATAAGACTAGTGTCTATAGAAATGGAGAGAAATGAGTTTAGTGTCATATTAACGAGAAAATAAGACTAGTGTCTATAGAAATGGAGAGAAATGAGTTTAGTGTCATATTTCTACATGGTCTATGAATACGTATATTACCAGAACTGAATCAGTCATGTTATAAATACCACATGGTCTATGAATACATATATTGCCAGAACTGAATCAGTCACGTTATAAATACTACACGATGTATGAAGACATATGAACATACCTGAGACAGAGATCTGCTGTATGTCAATACCTCTTGTGTAACATTCCAGGTTTGTTTCAAAAATCAACGGGATGTCATCTGATCCTGGGACATTCAGTTCTATACTGGATTTACTTGATCCGTTCCCTAGGATAAGACACTAGTCTTATTTTCTCGTTTATTTATAACGTGACTGATTCAGTTCGGACAATATACGCATTCATAGACCATGTGGTATTTATTAACATGACTGATTCAGTTCCAGACCATGTAGTATTTATAACGTGACTGATTTAGTTCGGACAATATACGTATTCATAGACCATGTGGTATTTATAACATGACTGATTCAGTTCCGGCAACATGAGGCTTCTATAACGATATCTCTTTTATTGTTGTTGTCAGTAATAACGAAGTCACGTGATCAAGCATGTGAATATTGTTTCAAAGACTGATATACTAAACATTATTTTAAAAATTAAATATATGTTGGCAATAATTTCAGTCCTTGTAAACCATGTGATATTACTAGTGTACGTTTCTCTCAAGAGGAACTCCACGTTTTCATAGGTTTTTCTGTATCATTTCTATTCAAACTGTACATTGTACAGGATTTCTATGGTAGCCGCAAACGTACAAAATTGTAAGTAATTTCCATTTTTACAGTTTACAGAAACCCACATACTGGATCTGAAGTGAAACTAAAATGTTATTACAATGGACCAACAATCTTCACACATTTTGTTCCACAGCTTATTTTTCTGTTCACTTCTTCTGATTTATGGGAATCATGGATCTCAAGAAGTAATTCTTATAAAATAACTTCGTTTTCTCTTCTACCCTCCTTGAAAGAAGCATCCAAACATAAAGACAGATTTGGATTAATTAATATAATATTGTACAAGTAGGGTTTGGAAAAAAAAAGGAGATCTTTCAGGTATGTAACATTAGAAACAACTGGTATAACCATGAAGCTTTAGAGTGAAGCCTTTTGTTTAACCAACAGCAAACAAGTCCATGCCTTTTTTCAATGCCTTTTATCACATAAAACTTTTATGATGTCACGCATAGGTGGAAATTGTAAAAAGTTTTAATGACTGGGATTCTTTTAGGTGCCGGTGATTTCAGTGTGTGGGAGTTTTCTGGCCACCAACCATACTATATGTTGTATGATCACTTCATTGGAAACACCAACTGTCTCCATGCTATTGTTTTCAGCATGAGTGACCCATATAAACTACAGCTGCAACAGATAACATTTTGGCTTTCGTTTCTACAAGCTTGTATTCCACCTGAAGAGCCGCTACGTAAGTCTTACTTTAAATTATTTCTAATTTATTAGCAATGTCACTAGCAACTATCACTGACCTTGACAAACAGTGGACTATTTGACCATGCACCAGGAGTTCATTGACCCTGACAAACAGTTGACTATTCGACCATAGATCAGGAATTCCTTGATCCTGTCAAACAGTGGACTATTTGACCATGCATCAGGAATTCATTGATCCTAATAATAGTGGACTATTTGACCATGAATCAGGAGTTCATTGACCCTGACAAACAGTGGACTATTTGACCATGCATCAGGAGTTCATTGACCTTGACAAACAGTGGACTATTTGACCATGCACCAGGAGTTCATTGACCCTGACAAACAGTTGACTATTCGACCATAGATCAGG